ATGTAATATACAGTATGTCCCTTTTACAACAGAAGGACAGCTGGCTGACAGAACCGTGAACGTTAGCGTATAAGCGGTAGTATTTTCCACAAGTAGAAAACCTTTTTTGTGCATAATATGTAATAAGAATGATGTGCTGCACAAGGTGCAGACATATGTGTTCATCACATGTGAAGGTCCTGTTTCCTGCTTATAGTACTACACAATCACAGTACTTTCCTTCACCAGCTTTGTTACCCTAAGGAGAACTATGGGGAAAAACACTGACCCCATAGTTCTCCTTTAATGCAAACCAATGTCAGCCCGCACTAATACAGCTACTGATCTCTAATGGAACAAGGTGCAGACACCACAGTCCCATCATGATAAAATTAGTGGCGTCTGTTCACTACGGCAATTGTAAAAGCTTATTCACACCATGTATGCTGAGCTCGTCTTTCTGAACATGACTGTACATGTATGGTGCAAAAGGGAGCACATACCGTAGAAAACAATCCTGTTTACGAGTGTCAGAAATTGCTTTTCCTTATACTTGTTGGAGGAGTAACTCAGGAAGCACTGAAGCCGTAGCATCAACATGATAGCCGGGCAACTATCTTCAAAAGGAATGTTTAGCAATCTCTCATGGTAGTGTCACGTTAGTAAAAACAAAATAGAATAACTGAAATGATAATTATTCAAATTCAGAAAGAATGCCCTTTAAAGTTTGCTACACCCAAGTGCATAGAGGTGTATTCTGAAGGAGGAAGGTTGCCCAACATAAAGCAGAAATCTCTCTCATCCCCAGCCCTGGTAACACTGCTTTCCAAGGGTCTAAGTTCCCCCAAAAAAGTAGGGAAAGTGAGCTGTGTGCATAAAATGCTGACCTAAGCAAATACAACCAACCTCTGGATATAAATGTATAGCCAGGGGATAGTGACCTTCCATGGGAAAGCCAGCAGCACAATCAACTGCGGTTAGAGGAGTATGCTAGAAACAAGATAACATCTACAGGTAGCAATGTGATCATCAAGCAAGGTCCTCTTTAATGATTTCTTCCAAGCAGGAATACTTTATGCCAATCCTTGTACAATGGAAATTAAAATCACCATATACCTATTTTCCACTGTCCTAACCTTTCAACAGATCTGTGCTCCCACTGGCTGCCAGTCAAAAGAAATAGCCAAATCAAGACGTGGGCTTTGTCAAAGGCAGAGCCAGCCTATCAGTGACTATTTATGAACATAGATCTCTCCATTTAGTAAAAGTTAAGGCCCATTACTAAAGATAATAACTGATGCAAGCATTATGTAAAAACAAATCCTTAGAGGAAAACGGAATTACATAAATTATCTTGGATTAGCCCTTGTAGGTCGGTTACAATAAAATGATGAGTTGGTTTCAAGCAGTTAGGTGGGAGGCTGGAAAAAGAACATTAGCATGTATGGTTTTGAAGTCAATGAAACATACAACATCTTACGATGGTGGAGGCCTGGCTGCATGCCACAGACAGTCTAAGGAGGGAGCAGAGAAGAAAAACAAGACATTCCTAGCACATGAGACCATGAGCAGAGGAGGTCACAGTGTCTGCTAACATGATTCCCGTTCCAAGGCTTGCCCTGCCTACTACAAATGAGATATTTAATGAAGCGCTGAATGGTAGTCTTATCTTTCCCTGTTTGATAAGCACTGGTGAGATTTGCTGCAATAAAGGGTCAACGCAATTACAATTGGAAGCACGTCAAACTGCAGGAGAACAATAAACTTGCAGTGCCAGTGAATTAGACTCAATAAGGTTCAAATTGCAAAATAAGGATTTGTTTTATTAGTTTTTACATAAAATGCAGATTAGGAGTGACAGCTTCACTAAAACATGAATGAATCACTTCTCTGAACTGCTGGAGGCAGAAAAACGAAAGAAAGAGAGTAAAAGGCTTTGGAAAGGTTTCCGAGGATCATCGGTGGCTCTGGGAGGAAATCTAGCTGTACTAGAGAACAGGAAGTGAGTTAAGGAGATATAGTCTTACCCCAAAAGCATGAAAAGCAAGTGCAAGCTAAAACATATTATAGAGAAAAGTTTAGCCTTTTCATTTTTTCTCAACTACATATTTACAAAAAAAAAAAAATCAACCTAACCTTAGCAGAACTTGACTGTCCATAGGCGGGCCAAAGACTGACTTTATTCTTCTTCCAGAGTTGCAAAAATAATAGATCATGTGGTTTGCTGTGTTGCTAAGTGTATAATTTGAATCAGCAGAGTTGTAACATTCCATAACTGTGGGCTTGAGCTACACGGGAAGGTGGAATAAAGGGAAACTATAGTGTAATTTATTTTATTTTAATTTTGTTGTAGTTGACTTTTGCCTATCTACATGTTCTACTTTACATTTGTTGCTGTAGTAAATGAAGAAGTGTATATTAGAGGCAGAGAAGATTAGCCACTACAACATTTCTTCCAAATTGCTTAACAACTGCTAAGATAAAATATCAGCCACACAGCGAGTGCATTTATTTCAATGAGTCAGCTAACTCCTCAGCTTCCTTAAAAAAAAAAAAAAGAGCTATGGTTGCAATATTCACCTCTTCGGTGATGTCCTCCACAGTTATTGATTTCTGCCACTAAGAGTCCCCAGCCTTCCAGGTGGAACGACCACCCAGGAGAATGAAGACATCTTGTAAGAGTGGCGCTGTTGTCTGCATCATTGTTGAGGACCACCTCATTTACCAGCCCCGGTGGTGACTGGGTGGCAGTCCTGGATTTGGTATTTCAACCATTTATTTGCTACTAAATTAATGAAATCGCAACTGTGCAATGGAAAAAAAGCAGTCCTCCATTGCAAAAAAAAATTAAATTGTTGATATATAAAAGGCTAATAGAGGATTGTTATGTGAGAAGTTCTGGAACATGGACAACACATATCCACTACAACTTGACATTTTCAATGACCGATTTCCTGAAGCCATGTTTTAATAAATTTTAGTTACTCAAGCAAAACGGAGAAGACGAAAAAATAAACTTTGTTTGTTCTTCGTTCCTAACATTATAATACTGGCTCTGGAAAACAGATACAAAATGTGAGCGTAATTAACAAAGCGTGGCGAAAGGACAAGAAGTCCGAAAAATAGCATTCTTATGTCGAATCTCATAGCAAATTAGTTTTATAATAGATGCCATTTGTAATCCGGGCTTTTGCACAGTGTAAAGTAATGGCAAATTACCCAATTAAATATCTACTTCATCCCAAACTGCAATGCTGCTGGCATACAAGCACAGACAGAGATAGATCTTGTTGTGTGGCAGTGAATGAGATACAATAAATAGTAGGATGCAAATCATGTGCTGGATTTCAGGAATCAATGTATAGACCACAAAATTAGATAAGCACTTCTGTTTACATGTTATAATGTAAAATGCAAGATATTATACATCAGTGCATTTACTTACTGGTGCTTGGCTTCAAGTTTAAGTGATATAAAAGGGCTATAAAGCAAAACAAATATATGCTTTCAAATGTAGGAACTTGAAGAATTTTTTACTGCAATTTGCAGACATAGCTAGCAGTCCTACAATTCATTGCCACGACAAGAAGCTACAACTCACGATTATCTGCATCTCCACCTGCTGGTAAAATCTGGCACCACTACCTTACAAGCCTAAACAGCCTCTACAAGACAGAATTCTATAATGACGCTGCCTCTACATGGTCCTACTATTACTGTATGGTCAGATTTATGTCCACAAAACAAAAGATAACAAAGAGCTTGAGGACTACTTTAGATCAGAGGGAGGTGCAGGGGACACCTCTGTTTAGCAGGTTAATCAAAACTCTAAAACAATGGCAGGAAAAACTGCAAGGGACTTCCCAGGAGATATGTGAACCCACTTCCCTTCATTTCATCACACTAGATCTCTGAAAGAAATATCACATTTAGGTGAACAGCGCATTTCATTTTAAAAGTAAGACTTGAGAACATGACTTCATTAAAAATCAACAGTATCACACAGTCAAATATACAGTATATGAGCTAAAAAAAACAAGTTCTACTGCCAAATGCATGATGTGACCAAGGGATCTCAGGAATACTATTTACACTAAGAGCATGTGTTCAATGTAATTCTTACATATAGTAATAGCCTCTCAGGTTACAGTATTTGCCATTTTGTAATGGCCGCAGAAGGAGAATACCTTTTTGGTTCAGGCATTATTCAGGGTCAACATCTACTTCCTGGATGGATTTGCTCGCCCATAGATGAGTTGACCATGAAAATCCCACTGCCTGTGGAGTAGTTTTATTATCCTGGGCTTTGTGTTGATTCAGCAGCTAACTCTCAATTTGTGATCTGCCAGAAACTTACAATGTACAGCTATAGTGAGCACTGCATGCTAATTAGGAGGGTTAAGTATTTGTATGGATAAAAAGGGATCAACAGACTAATGGTACTTTTTGCTTTCAAAGCTACTGAATTTATTGGCTGTGAACAAAGGCATCACATTTCAGGGCACTGAACGGTAAAACATTGTAAAATATTAATATTAACATAATAATAGTGATGGCTCTGATGGTGTTTTTATATAACTTAATTGTAGCTTTGATGATGGGAATCTTTTAATGCCCTGAAACATGTTAAGAGAAGTTCACAACCATTAAATAAAAAAGCTTTATAGGAGCCTTATGTCTATGTATGCCCATCTGTCAATATAAGGTTTTGTCTCTCCAGACTGGAGTAGAGTGCTCACTATAGGTGTAGGTCACCCCCTCTGACCTTTTGATTCCTACACTGGTGCACATGAGCAGCCTAGCTGTAATATACAACAGTCTTTGGTTTGTGCCTAAATCAGTTCCTTCCTCTACTTACAATTACAATGTCATAACAGTTCCCACAAGTGACCGAGGGAAAGGAGGAAACACTTTCTTTCTGCCTTTTTGTTTAATTTCTTAGGAATTTGCTCATGTGGACTTGTAAAGTTCCTAGGAGGTCACCTCCATCAATACAGGTTTATACGAATATGAAATTTTACCTCATTCTTCTTTATTCTCCTTGCGACAATTAACTGAATCATTCCTCTTTTATTTCCTTCTGTGGACATAGATTTCCGCAAATTTTCCATGGCATCTTGGTTTGTTTTACCCAACAGTGATTCGCCATTGATTGCCACTAGTTGATCATTTACACGAAGCCTTCCATCCTACAACAAAAAGGGATAACTAATCAGTACTACTTCATTCAACACCAATCTTTTTCAGCGTAAAGCAAAATATAGTAAACTTTGTTAAATGCTTGTATGCACTTTATCCTGGCTTGGACTACAAAAATTAAAATGTAAAAAAATTGGGACACATAATAGCCTCTGAATGGATATTTAAAACTTAATAAAATGGAACCAAAACAGCTGTTTCCCTTTGAGAATGTGTACCAAACACCACAATATGATGCAGACATGTCAAGTGTGTCAGTGTCGCAAATAAACCCGGGCTTATTGCTCTTCCGCCTTTCAGCCTAAATACCCGATGATATATAGATGATCAATAAAAAGTGTTGGGCAAAAAAAAAAGCTGTATTCTTGTATTTAAAGGAAACCTATAGTGAGAGAAGCAATGAGGATGCTGTTGAGCACCTGTTCTTCTGCACATTAGTTGTCAGGCTATCATGCTGACCCTCTGGCTTCTACAATTTGAGTTACTAAGCTGGAACAAGTATGCAGGGCAGGAGTTCTGACTTCACTCTGACTTTACTTGATAAATAGGTTCTAATACCACAAGAGAAGGGAAAGAAATGTTTTTACATGAATGTTAAACTGAGAAGTATGACTCAAAGGCAAGTGATTTAAAAGCATATTTTTCATACTGCATTACTTTTCTTAAGAGGACACCTAAAAAATACAGACGTTAATGGCCTCAGTACAAGAAGCCGAAGTGTATTATTGTTCAGAATGCACACACTGCTGGTACTGCAAATAATCTTAACATATATATTGATTTCCATCTCTCTCTGAGGAAAAAAGTAATTGGAAGCTCAGTGTTGTACGGTATTGATCAGTATATATCATGGGCACTTTGCAGGCAGTAAAATTGGGATTATTCATTGCCAATTATGTTTAAGCAATTATCATTGGCAAACTATCAGATGTGCAGATTACTGTGAAACAATCACTGCAAAGATCTCCTCGGGCTGTAGACACGGCAGTGGAGAGGTAAACCAAGGCCTCCAGCCAAAGCCATATATAACAATCACAGGAACCTGCTGCAAATGTTCTACAGAAGCTCAGTCATCATTTTGAAAGTTTTGTTCAGTTCTCTAATAAAAACAGGGTATAGGTAATACTTGGGATGCACCGAAATATCGGCCGAAAATGGCACTTTTGTCAAAATGCTGAAAGTAACATTTTTGGGCCGAAATAGCGGTGCATCCCTGCTTTCTCTCCTCCCTGCTGGGCGCTGCTCTGTGTCCCAGCGGGGAGGAGAGAAACTGTCGCAGGAGGCTGAGTGGTGCGGGAGGAGAGCACTGTGAGTGGCCGGCATCTCTCCTCCACGCTCCACTCAGCCTCCTGTCACAGATCAGGAGAGCGGTGGTGTGGGGGCAAATGTTTTTAGAAACTCAAGGGACTAATCAAAATGCTGCTTTATAATATTATTGCACAAACTTGGCTCATTTGTGTATGACCTTCATAACCTCTGCAATCTCCAAGTGTTAACAGTCCCACCTACCATACACCATTGATTCCAATGAGAATGCTCTTTCACTGTAGCACAACATAGGCCTCATTCACGCGGGACATGTTGGGCTGTACAGAGCGAAGGGCCATTTTTTGATGCGCCCAGAGCTGCGGGAAGAAGCATGTTCATGTAAGTCTATGGAGACCAGGGAGCTGTGTATCCTCACACAGCTGAACACAGACGGTGTACGGACCTGGATCCATCACGTCTACATCCGGCTGTGTGTGGCTGTCAAAACTCAGAGCTGAGGGTAGCAACATGTGGGGTGCACAGCTCCGGTGTCTTCATAGACTTACATGAGCTGTCTGCACACTACTTCCCACAGCTCATGGGAAGTAGTGTGCAGGCAGCTCATGCAAGTCTATAAACAAACAGCCCTTCACGCTGTACAGGGCAACACGCCCCATGTGAATGAGGCCATATGGTGACAAACAGTTTCATCACATTCCTTAGGTATCTGCCATTGGTGACTCACATTGCAGTAAAACAAAATCCTCTAACAAAAGAGCTCTGCACCAATACCTAGTGGTCATCTGCAGACTTATCAACTCTCCCGGATGTTTCGGGAGTTTCCCGCTAAAGTATAGCGGCTCCCGGACACCCGGGAGATAAACATTTTCTCCCGGAAAGGTTTATTCTGCTTTATCTAGCAGAGTAAACCTTTCCCTGTTATCTCTCTTGTTTTTTCTTGACATCGGAACCGCCAGCCACCATCAGTCAGAAAAAAAGGCATATAATTAAATAGCTAGATTGCTATTGGTTATTTCAATTTGCAATAGCAGACTAGCTATTGCACCCGCCTACTGCTGCTATCAATCAGCAGAGGTGGTCCTGAAGTTCTATATCAGGGTCTCCTCTGCTGACTGACCGCAGCAGAGGGCGGGGGTGTGTGTGTGTGTGTGTGTGTGTGTGTGTGTGTGTGTGTGTGTGTGTGTGTGTGTGTGTGTGTGTGTATATATAGGGCTCGAC